TGTGAGGTAATCATCATCATCTCCATTTGTAAGAATGAGTAAATTGAGGCTCAAGAGAATAAATCGTCTATCTGCTCAAATAGCCCATCAAGATGGAGGCAGGATTTGAACCTAATCTGTCTGAACACAAACCATTTGGCCAAATTGCACCAATTCCCTTAAATTCCAAAATTTGTATCTCCAAGGGTATGTTGGCAGATTTAATTACTCTGGGTGACTGCATTTTCTAATCAACATAAGGTAGATTTTGTTTGTTTATTTACAATTCTTGCTGAAAATCTTTCTAAAGACTTAGCAGACAGCAGACAATCTTATCATAGAAAGAGAAATCATGGTCTTGCCAAGGGCATCATTCTGAATATTCAAGTTCATTCTAAGGTAGTCAATAAATGGAGAACAAAATGTATTCTGTTCTCAGAATGTAATCCCAAGTTTTAGTGGGTATGAAAATATTTCCCTAATAATAAACTTCGTGTGTGTTGTGTGTGCTGTGTGTGTTGTGTGCTTGGCATTCTTCTTTTCTCTAAAGTAAAGGGAAGAAAGAAAAATTGTTTGAGACTACTTCTTGAATGAATGGTTATTTGGGTTCCATTCACTGGATTCATCTAATGTCTAGCTCATTACTGTTCTCATTTAATTGCTTCATTACATTCCATTCAGACACTATTTCATAGTTATTTCATTTTTAAACCCTAGTTTCCTTCTTTTACCTTTTTCAGTGCCCAAATATAAACCCATGAACCTAAAAGACATCACTATTTCTTCAGTATTATTTCAATTCCAGGACCTTGTTGAGAATATAACAAAGGCTACGATGCTCAGCTCAGAAAACCACGTTATCTGCCAAAACACACAAAACATGGCGCATGGGCACCAAGACAATCTTAGACGAGTACTAGGTAAGTACTAGCTCTAACACTAGGATGGATACCTGCCTGAGGTCGCCTGTCCCTTCTCTGGGAACTGTTCTTCCCCAACTCCAATGGGCAAGAGCTGCCACCTTTTCTCAGCGGCTTGGTCTAGGGAAATGCCACAACTGATGGAAGCCAAACCAGTCAGAATCCTTTCATGGGACTTTTATAACTGAATCGGAGACAGAAAGACCCTTTTGGGGAGTGGAAATTACAAAATGTGAAATTCAAGAAGCATTAGTTCCCTGCCCTGTGGAGGAAACCAGACAGCAATGAGCAACAATATAGCCAAAACGCACAGAGAAGTCCCAACAACATGCAAGCACCTGGTTCCAATTACTCCCAAAGCCCAGCCCCAGCCCGGCTCTCCTGGTCTGCTTACCAATTTGTCCTTCCACTGTGACCTCCAAAACCCTCCTAATATTTACAGATTTTGCCTCTGCTCATCCACATTTCCACAGCTTACAACCAAAAAAACGAACACTAATGTTGATTACTTCGAAACACTACGTTTGTTTTAAACAAGTTTTATGCCCTTTAAATTTTTTCTACTATGCAAAGGTCTTTCCTTTAGATATTGAACTAGGCTTTTAAATACTCATTTCTAAAAGGCCCCCATTTCACTCCACATAAAAATCTTCTAGAATATCTATTTAAAACAAGGCTTGACTCCTAACATTCTACATGCATGCTCCACACACTATTAAAATATAATTGTAAGAAGCTAACTGCCTGATCGTTTTTAGTTTAATCCCAAAATGTAACAAGACAAAATTGCCTCAAGTCATCTTTTCCTTTATGTATTCAATTATATTCTCCACTTAAAATACTTAAAATAAAAATTGGCAGTGATCCATTCACTGATGGGTAGTCTAAGTCAGAAAGCAGTAACATATCGAATTAACCACACAAAGTCAAGCTTATTCTTGTCATTGAGAATTACCACCACAATGGAATTGAAATTTTCCACCTTTAACTGCAAGTTTCTATATTTCAATCAAATAGACTTGGACTTAATAGACTGCAACGCAGTCCGACTACAATCAATCCCACAAACTCTTAGTTCACACATCTCTTGCAATCACCACAGATTTCCTTGCCCCAACCATGGCCTTGAAAATTCCCTGAGTGTGGCTGCATTTGCAAGGTTATAATAGCGATGCAACTTTTGTTATATACTATTAGTCTTCCTAGTCTGGGGCTCCTAACTTAATGGTAGGAACCTACTCGACTGTAAAAGTAGTCGAATCTTGAAGTTAGAAAAAAAGTTGGAAATCACCCAGTCCAATCACCTTACCTCACAGATACAAATATCGATACAAAAATAGTTAATAGGCCCAAGGTCAACAGCATTAGAGAAAGAAATAGAACATGGATCCAATGAGCATTTTACTATGGTGTGTAGATGACTCCCAATCTTGTAAAATGCTTCAATGACCCTCCATGTAGTAGATGACTACGGTTCCCCTTTAGTGCTCCAAACATATGGTTATTTCTAAATGTCCTTAAGACAAATGCACATGAATTTTAAAAGCAAGAAATTGCTATGTTCATGACATCTTTTCCCATTTAATCCTGATCACATTAGAAATGTAGGGAAGGACCGATTTGAATGATCTCTTCCTGCTCTGCTAGGCTTTCTCAAATGTCTCCATTCATACACAATACAACTGACAAATTTATTCTCATATTATACTGTAGATTTTGGTGCATACAAGGTCATATGAAAACATTTATCTAAGACTTTGTTACCTAAAATGAAATCAACCAGAAACACATGGCATCTGAGTGTAGATTTCATCTTTATATACCCTTCCTTTCTTTAAAAAAAAAGAAAAGAAAAGAAACATTTTTAAAAAGAAGCCTGTGAAACAGACCTTTCTTATGTCAACTCGAGCCCTAAAAATAAAAATATTTGGACAAAAATATGAGGGGCATTTTTAGCAATCTTTTGCACAGAGGCTAACACAATGTGCCTGATATATATTTGTTGAATGAATAACATGGTTATACTGCATACTATGGAAACTTGACTCCTCTGGATGACTATACTTAGACTTGCTAACTTCTCTTGAAAGCAAAAGAAAATGCACTATCTACAAATCACATTATTTTTATAAGCTTTAAGTAGTTTCAAAATATTTCCAATTAGCAAGAAACTCTTAAAACAAATGTAGCAATTCAAAAGTATAAAGTAGCAACAGAAGTGGGTACAGTAAAACACCACACAATTACAAGGTTTTCTAAAGTAAACTGGAGTTGGGACTAATTCCCAGACAGCACCCTTTCAGTGGCATATTATCATCACTACTTTACTAGATTAAACGCTCAGACACAAACACTCTCCTGACCAAAACACCAGAACTTCAAAGGAGAGAAAAGCACCCACACATACAGAACTAACAACATTACTATTTTTAAAAAAGCAACCAACAGCAACATAATAAAAAAAAAAACAAATTTAGAACATAACTCTAAACTGTACACTTATTACACAGGAAAAATAACACTTTATTTAATAAAACGTAGGGGGGTTTTGATGCAGTAGTGTCAGCTGTTGCAAAAGCTTGCATTCCTAATTGCTCAAGAAGTTATCAGGAAGTTAAAATGAACTCCAGGCGATCAGGCATTAGGCTGATAGGAATAATCAAGTCTCAACCTTCTTAAAAACAGTCACTCCTTGCAAGCACAATCGATCAATCCTGATACAGTTTCACCTTTTCCCCAGCTCAGCCTGGGAAAGAAAAATACAAATACGATGCTTTTGAGCCATTTCAACCAACTTCACTACACCGAGAATGTTCTTTCGAAATCCAACATGGTTTTCTGTCATTTCTATTATGCTGAAAAGGGCCCACAGACATCCATCGAAATCAAAAGTACGGAAGGCAAGCGTACACTTCTCCTCAGACGCTAACCGACTGCAGTGGGTAAGGTCATGGTCAAAATTCACAGGCTCATTTAAACTTTCATGGCTCAGCCAACAGCTCCTATCAGATTTCCTGATCCCAAGGAGATTAAAACTGCAAGTTTCTCGCTGGAAGATCAGCAAGAAGCTATTTCGGACCCTCAGACCGCAGTCCGCATAGCCCGCAGCGGCGCATCTCCAGGACCTCGGGCTGGCGGGTTACGCTTTCCAAGCCGTCTCCTCCAACCTTTGAAACAAACCCCCCAAACGGGTGCAGTCAACTCAAGACAGCCGTCCACCGCGCCCGCCGAGACCCCCTCCCGCTGTCATCCCCTGGCCGCCCTTCCGCAGTCGGCGACTTCGGCCTGGCTCCCCAAGGTGGGGGAGGATGTCTGGGGAGCAAGAACTCCCCGCCAGGCAGCTCTTCAGCGGGCACAGCGGCAGCACGATGCGGGAGAGGAGCAGAGGAAGATGCTAAACACCAGAGCCATATTTACATTAGCTTTATCTTTGCCAAAAAGATTCCTGGCGTCCAAGAATATCGCCTTTAAAGGGAAAAAAGGACCTAAGCAGTAAGCCGCTGCCCAAAGCTCCGCGATCTCCAGTATTCTCACCCCTGCCTGGTGCGGGGAGGCTTCGTACGCTCCCAGCCTCTGGCAGGTACACCTGCCGGACAGCGGAGGACCCGGCCTCCCCCGCCGCCCCCGCAGAGGAAGCAAGCGCGGGGACTCTCGCCCCAACAGCCCCCGCCGGGGTGACAGCCCAGGCGGAGTCGTGCCCCGCACAAACTTCCCAGTTCCCAGGCTGCAGGGGACAGATCGGCCAGCGAGCGGACGCACGGACCGGGGGCGACACTGGTACCCGCCGCAGGGCTCCAGTGCAAATGGGACCCCCTCGTCCTGCATCCGGCCCTAGGTCCCTAGGGGGTCCAAGTGGCGCCTGGGCGGCCCCGAGGGGCGGGCGCGCGGCGCGGGGCTGGGGGCACCGAGGCGCCGCGGCGAACGGGCAGCCCCGGAGGGCAAGCAGCCGGAGGGCCCGGGCCCCGCTCGGGTTCCCCGCCCCTCAGCAGCTGCAGGGGGCGGAGGGGGAGGAGGAGGCGGCGGAGGAGGACGACGACGAGGAGGACGACGAGGAGGACGAAGACGAGAAAAGGGACCGCGCGCCGCAGCCCAAGCCCTTACCGAGTGGTTTACCCCCCACATCAGGACGCTGAGCAGCGGATCGCTGGCCCGAAAGAGCTTCACTTTCTGCGCTACGAAGTGCTTCTTCTTGGTCTTGGTCTTGCTCGCCAGGACGGAGGACCCCAGGTTGCCGGGGGTCGCCATGGCCGCCGCCTCTGTCCCCTCCACCGCCGCGCTCCCGAGGCCGGGGACCCGCCCTCTCTACACGCCGGCCCGGGGAGGCAGATGCATCCCCCCCGGCGGCGGCCCCGGCGCGCAGTGCCCCGCTCCGGCCGCCGGCACGCTCGTCCCGCTCCGCCCGCGGTGCCCGCTCTGCCCGGCTGGCGAGGGACGCTGCGCTCGGCTCGCGCCCCGGCCCGCTCCCCGCGCCCGCCGCGGCTCCGAGCTCAGCCCGCGGCTGGACCGGGCGCGCCGCGAGCGGCTTCCGCGTTGGGCGCCGGCGTCATGACGCAGGGGGCGGGCGGGCAGCAGCTGCGGCGCCGCCGGGGCGCGGAGCGCGAGGCGCGGCCGCGGGACCGTTAAGCTGCGCCCTCGCGCTCCGGCTCAGCGGAGGCCTGGCCGCCCCCGGGTCGCAGGCGAGCTCGGGGCGGCAGCTCCCCGCCGGCCGAGGAGGCCGCGGGGTGGGCGTGCGGCGCGGGGAGCTTGAGGACTCCCGCAAGGTATCCCTTCTGCAGCTCAGGAGAAAAGAGGGAAGGATGGGGAGAGTAGGGAGATCGGAGGAGAGGAGCCCCCAGAGACGGTGGTCAGGCGAAGGAAGGAGGCTCGGGGCACCGCCGCTTACCGGTGCCAAGAATCAGGAGAGCTAGTGAGACGTGAAACGCTGCGTGGAGACCAGGGCTTCCCTAGCACCGAGGGAAAGGACCTGGCACATGGTTGGCCGCCTCCCAAAGTAGCCCTGCAATGAACTTATTAATCCTTTTGTGCCTTTAACCATCGGGCCTTTGGGACCCTGAACTTGGGCCTTCCCACATGCATGCAGAAGGGAGACTCCCACCTAAGCCGCTGGGCTGTCATTCCCACCACCACTAACGCCCTCCCTAGATGGGACCCTGATTCCTCATCTAGAGCCCTTGGTTTGGCCAGGAGAATCATGCCGCAAATTGCACCTTCTATGTCAAATCCTCCGCGATGTTTCCTATATCCGTTTAATTCATCTCACTCACCTTCCGCGGAAACCTTTTCACTGTCTTATCCACGTACACCTAAATTTAGCCCTTCTTAATGCTGGGAATACCTGAACCACCTCAGGAAGCTGCCATTCCAAGTATGTCTAAAAACCTGTTGTCCCTATATCTTCCCCAGTAATCATAACCCTGTTCTAGGCACTTACCCTACTCAGCCCACTGGGCAAGTCATTATATGTCTATTGTCATAATACTCCCCCTCAAGTATAGTGGTCTCCTACTGTGTACCAGTTAACCTGCTTGGTTCTTTCAGGGAAAGAAAGCATGACAGATCCTGATCCCTTGAGGAGCTTGATGAGTCCACGGGGTGGGAAGTGACAAGTCACGTGGTCACCTTCATTTGCTCCTTTTTGCTTTGACTGTTTTTTAAACATAAGGGTTGCCTCAACATCCTCTTATTCTTTCTCTCTTGCTTCATAACTATTGTCCAAAATGTTATCTGCTCCCCCAGCCTCAACCATCACCACTCTTTAGTGGTTAAAAAAAAGAACAACCTGAATTTGCAGTGAGAAGAGGTGGGGTTGCCCAGTTCTCCCACCTATTTGAGCAGATAACCTCTCTGAGCCTCAGGTTCTTTGTGTTAATAATAGAATAATCAGGGTACTTCTCTGGTGGCGCAGTGGTTAAGAATCCGCCTGCCAATGCAGGGGACGCGTGTTCAAGCCCTGGTCTGGGAGGATCCCACATACTTCGGAAAAACTAAGCCCTTGCGCCACGAGACTACTGAGCCTGCGCTCTAGGGCCCGCGCACCACAACTACCGAATCTCGCGAGCCTAGAGCCCGTGATCAGCAACAAAGAGAAGCCACTGCAATAAGAAGCCCGCGGAAGCTCAACGAAGAGCAGCCGCCGCTCGCCAGCAACTAGAGAAAGACCACACGCAGCAACGAAGAGCCAATGCAGCCAAAAACAAATAAATGTATAAAATAATAGAATAATCAGACACAAAGGTCACTTTAGGGACTACTTTGGGCCTGGTAATTATCATCCTGCCCTACCTACTTTATAGGATGTTCGTTAGAATCAAAATCAACAGTAGACAATGGCTCTGAAAAGCACTCTATAAATCATACAGCACTGTATACATACAAGATGAAATGGAGAGTACTTGTGGATGACCCATAAACTCTCCCCTGACCTCAGAGAAGTGCCTCGTTGAACATCTCTACATCAGTTGCCCACAGACAGCTTGAAAATTGTCTAAAACCAAGTTCAACATTGTCCTCCATCTCACATGTTGGTTCATTACTCCAACCACAAGTTCATTCGTTTAACAAATTTTCATTGACCCAGGCTTCAAAGCTTAGGATCATCACTGATTATTGCCTCTTACCACCACTCCACATAAACCCTGTTACCAGGTCCTGTCCATGAAAAAAATTGTGCTCCAATATTATCTCTTCCCTGGTGCTCTCACTGGTCCCCCTAGTTGAAATTAATCCATCCACCTCAGTGCTTCCATAGCACTTTATTCTATGACGGCTCTATTGGGTTTAACTGTATATTAATAATGGAAGACAACACGCTAGCTGTGAAGGCTTAAAAGCTGAATTTAGAGATGACAAAGTGTTGAATGAACCTACAGGAAGGGAAGATGGATATGTGTGGGCACTGTCAGGTGAGGTTTCACTTAGGAGGGCGCAAGGTCTGGATGGGCCCACAGTATCATCCCTGTTAGGGGCAGACAGAGGTGCAGGCATGAAGATAAAAATCCACGTGGTATTTTCAGATAGTAATGAGGAGACTTGTAGCTTTGAAAGGACAGAAATATTTTTCCAACCTTATTAAGATATAAGTGACATATAGCATGGGGTAAGTTTAAGGTGAACAACTCGATGATGTATATATATATATATATATATATATATATATCATCTATATATCTCTATCATCTATCTATTGATAGAGACAACGGCTCAATCCTTATTTTTTCAAGGGTATGAGGGCCTAGATAGTTATTTTAAATATTTATTAACTCACTTAAATATATAATAAATATACATTATATATATTAAACATGTGATTTTTATATATATATATATATATATATATATATGATTTCCACCTTAAGTTTAGTTAACACGTACATCACACATAATTACCGTGTGTGGGTGGGTGTGTGAGTGTGCAGTGAGAACATTTAAGATTTACTCTCTTAGAAACTTTAGAGTTTGTAATAGAATAATGTTAAGGGACAGAATTTTCGGTGATTTAACTTACTTTGAATGGCATTTACGATAATGCCATTCAGGAATAGGTCATGAGATGATTTTTGCCAATGACCTTTCACACTACCTTTGTACTCTGCAGAGGATGTATGTGGTGTAGGAGTTCTAGAGTTGCAGAAATGACCTCAGAAAGTACCTAGCCCAGCTCTCAGATTATCTACATTAGACAATGGAGATCTAGAGAAGTTTAAGTGATTTCCTGACTTGTTGGGAGACAAACTCTTTGAAGGCAAGGTCTGTGTTATACTCACTCTGTGTGCTTCCAATGAACCTAACATACTCCCTTTCCCATAACACCTATGGCAAACTTTTGATGAAAAAATGAAAAGGAAATTTTCATCTCTCACATCAAAGTTACAAGATTCTACACTGAGGAACTGTGTGTGGAGGGGTCCATTTAGAAATACTTCATTGGGAAATTCGGTTAGGTTAGACATAATATTTAAACTTGAGGGTTAGATACATTTGGATTTAACAACTTAGCAATTTGATCACTGTTTTCCTTTGGAGTTTGTGTGATAACAAAACAATACACATGTCTTTGGTTCAGCATCTAATTCAGGCTGCTTATATATCAAGGGTGGAAGCACCCCAACCATCAACAATCGACAATGGTCTGGCTAGAGAAAGGAGAGGGAGGAAGTTCCATCTCAGGATGGGGATGTGGTCATGTCAGTCAAGGAGAAGGCCGTTCCCACCTCTTTGCATTTGGCCTGTTGGGCTGTTCATCCAGCTTCCAAGGCCATCACAGCTGCCAGAAATGCTCCAGCGGCCAAGTTCACCAAGAAGAAGGAAAGAAATGTTGGGAAGATTGAAAGTCTCCCAATACTGACTTGCTTCTGCTTGTTGTTACTTTTTTAAAAAAACTTTCTTTTACTGTAATCAAGTTTATTTACTGTCCTAGAAGAGTATGGTGAAAGTGTTATGTTAACTAAAGTACGCAATACCAGAAATGGAGGTTGAAATAGGGTGGATGCTCTGATTTTTTATTTTATTACCCTTTTCATCAAAAAAAATACTTCCTCAATGTAATAATTCAATTAGAATTCTTCCTTGAGAAAATAAATTCAGTAACTTCCTTAGTGCTGTTTGGAAGCTATTATGCTTTCCATTACTCTATGAAGAGATCAGAGCAAAATGTGGGACAAGGCCATTCGATCTTCTGTAGTGTCATCCAGAGCCTTGCCATTAAAAATGGTATTATTTTGGAAGACCATTATTAAAGTGCATATACAGTCAAACTCAGCCAGAATGCCAGCCAAATAAATGGGATCCAAGAATTCAATTGTGACATATGAGTTACTTTTGTGGGAGGAAGGTGTTGACACGATGCAACACAGCTTGTCATCTGGGAGTTCTGAGGGTCTAGCCGTGCCGTCCAAATGCCTCCAGAGCTGGCTGTGGTTTGGCACCAGCTGGCAGGGGTTGTCCACCCATTTGAAAATGATGGTGATTCTTCTGGCTTCTGCAGCTGGCTGGCACTTCCAGGACAGTGGCAGCAATTCCAGGAATCTTCCTCTTGGTTGGCAGCTATTTTGTTGGCCTGACTTGGGCAGATCGGACAGGGAAAAGACAGTATATAAAAAAGCCAGCACTAGGGTGACCACTTCCCAGCCTGCTTTGCCTTCCCCTCCACTCCCCAAGCAGATGAAGAGGACTTTAGTCGCTCCTTTGGGAGACAGGAAGCTGAGTGGAGGACAGGAGTCAATCTCCAATATCATCATATCTTTATTATGTATACCTTCATAACAGAAATAGAAATTTCCAACATTGACAGAGCAATGAAATGTATTACAGTAGATCCCTATGGCAGACTATAATGCAACCAATAAAAATGGTAATTTCACATAAAATGTAATGACATTAATCATGATATTGAAATAAGTGAAAAAATAGGATACAAAATTGTATATTGTATATTAAGATTAGAAAATGTATTTGTGTATGTATACATGTAAAACACTA